TATGTTAAATAGCTGAAATTTACTCAAAGTATTATAAAACAACCCTAAATACACTAAAATATATTAAAGTCCTCTTAAGGAAAAGTAGGGCTCGTGTACGGGTAAGAATGTGAAAACGAATCAATTGGAAACTGAAGTTTGCATTTTTGAGTCGAATCGAGTAGAACTAAAATACTTTGAGAGTTAGAAGGAATTGAATACAACTGTTTTTTTGAGAAATGAGATCAAACCAGACAAGATGAAAACAGGATGATATGAGTGTAAATATAAATGTACGTTCGAATACCTCTATGGCCCACAACCACACCCTACTCCAACATTTTTAAAAAGCTGCTATAGCTGCTTAAAGTATTTTTTAGTAAAGTAATTCAGATTATTCGCGATATTTACAGGTAAATAGTTCAAAGTACTTTGAATTAGCTTCAAGTAACTGATGATAATTCAACATAGCATAAATCGGTTTCACGTAGTTCCAAGTATATGTTAAATAGCTGAAATTTACTCAAAGCACTTTGAAGTACCGCATAAACACTTCTGATATAAGAGTCTATTGTTTTCTCCTTGCTCAAGACGATCTATCGCCCATACACCATTTTTAATTATGTCAAATGTAATGATCTTGAAAGAGAAATGTCTCACTATAACTTGGTCGTAGCTTAAACCAAATAATTGCTACGATATGTTCATATGGATGGTCTTAGAAGAGGAATACAACCTTAGGGTAATAGTCAACAATGCTGACTTTTTCTATATTGTGTTCTCTTAGCCGAACTTTAGCAGAAATCTAAAATTATCAATTATGCAAATGGATTGCGAAAAGACTAGTCAGCCTAACGGAAATGCATCTAAAGAACATATAATTACAATATCTAAGAGTGGTACAGTCGAAACACGTACATCTGCTGACAATATTTTAATGACTGCAGATACATCTCCAAGCATTACAATTACATTTTATAATCTATCGAAAATAATAAATGTCCCAAGAGAAAAAACTGATAACACATCCAAAGAAAAATTAGTTCAACGAGCATTACTAGACCGCATTTCTGGTCAAATTCCTGCAAAACAAGTAGTTGCATTGATGGGTTCATCAGGTAGTGGCAAAACAACATTACTTAATGTATTAGCTGGTCGTACATTGAGTGGCGTGACAGGTGATGTTTGGATGAACAATCAACGATATGAAAAAAGTATGAAAAGCAAACTTGCTTACGTTCTACAACAAGATATTTTCTTTGAAATTCTAACTGTTAAACAACAGTTAACATATACAGCATTACTTCGATTACCAAATAATTTAACACGACAAGATAAACTTACTCAAGTTAATCAAGTTATTGAACAACTACATCTTCAGAGTTGTGCTGATACAACAATTATGCTTATCTGTGGTGGAGAAAAGAAACGAGTCAATATTGCAACAGAATTATTAACTAATCCAAGTGTTATCTTCCTCGATGGTCGGTCTTCTTTTCTTAAATTACTTATCTTCAAAACCATTTACTTTATTCTCTAGAACCAACATCAGGCTTAGACAGCACATCTGCAGTCGTTATCATAAATATTCTACAGGAACTGGCTTCCAAAGGCAAGACAATATTGACATCGATTCATCAACCATCATCCCAAATTTTTCAATCATTTGATCAACTAATTTTATTAGCTGATGGCAAAACTATTTTCAAAGTAGATATTCAATGAGATTCTCACAACTGAATTAATTGGTCAATTCTTTAGGGTAAACCATCAAATGCTCTTGCTTATTTCGGAACATTAGACTATTTTTCACCTCCACAATATAATCCAGCTGATTTCATAATGGATCTTGCCAACAAAAGTTTCGAAGTTCGTGAAGAACTGAAGAAGGCTTATATTCGAAATAGACTTTCTATAAATGGAAATCAAACACATGATAATTTTCAAAAACAACAGGAGTATTCAAATGAATGTCAAAAATATCTTATCGGCGAACCGAGTGGCAAAGAAGAAGATTTACCGCAAGGCAATACCACAGAAATCATCGGACAACGAGA